TCACCCCCCAGGGAGGATGGTCATGCCGCAATCCCTTCTCCTCCATTCTCCTCTCGGGATCTTGGGCACACATGCACACGCGCCCGGCGTGAGTTTTAAGCCACCGGGTCCGGGACACGAACCGCGGTCGACTACGTGGGAGTCCAGCGACATAGCCATTACGCTAACTGCTGGTTCCCAATCCCACTCTTTTTTATCCCATGGCACTGTGTGTATTTCAAGTCACCTAGGATTTGAACCAGGATGGGCCATGTGGGCTCTAACTCCTTTAACCACTAGGCTACAGAGCCAATCAGAGGTTGTCTTCTGTTCTTACTGACCTTAACATAGGAGCAAAACCCACAGAATATCTAGGTAAGTGAATTTGTGTTCAGAGCAAAAGAAAAAAGAGATGTTTTTTTACTGAATAGATTTTTTTTTTTTTGGAGAGGTTTTTGCTATAGGGCACGTGCGCTCGCCAGACAGACAGAGAGAGACATAGAGATAGAAAGCAAGAAATCCCCCCCCAGGGGGGATGGTCACGCCACAATCCCTTCTCCTCCATTCTCCTCTCGGGATCTTGGGCACGCACGCACACGCGCCCGGCGTGAGTTTTAAGCCACCGGGTCCGGGACCCGAACCGCGGTCGACTACATGGGAGTCCAGCGACATAGCCATTACGCTAACTGCTGATTCCCCTGAATAGATCTTTTTTGAAGTGATGTGAGTGTCTTATGCACATATTTAAACATCTCAACATAAAGCTATCTGGCTGCTTTCTCAAGATGATTGGTTTGCTTTCCAGACACATCCCTTCAATATGGCCCCCAATATAGCATGTGCCATTAGCCTTGCAGAATGTATTCTCTGCAATCGAAGTTATGCTGTTAAATTGGAACATAAAAGATACACAGAGTTCTGAATCTGAAATCAACATCTTGTTTGCTGTGTAATGGGATCCCACAGGACATTTTACCTGAAAGTGATTTTTTTAAAGGATTTTATACAGAAATAAAAACATAAAAATCATCAGGAATCATCAAATGCTTGAAAATGTAAGATCAATTCCTGAATAGTTCGTGACTCAAAGAAGAAAACACCACGGAAAACAGGAAATCGCTGAAGCTGAAAAGCAACAAAAACCCATTATGATAAAATGGATGAGTTGCAACAGAACAGTGCTTAGAATTTTGTGGTTTTAAATACAAATTTCAGAAGTGAATGATAATCTGAGATTCCATTTCAAGAAGCTAGAATAAAACAAGTAACTTAAGCCTAAAGAAAGCAGAGAAGATGAAGATGACAGAAGTCAGTGAAAAGATGGAAGCAGGAAATCAACCAGACCCAAAGTCAGTTCCTGAAAAGATGAGTAGAAGTGATAAACTTCACAAGACGATCTAGAAAAAAAGAGTCAGAAAACACAAATGATCACTATCAGGATGAAAGGGGACATTTTTGGATCCATGTGCATTAAAAAGACTTTAAGAAGGGATTACGAACAACTTTATGTTAATATACTTGATAACTAAGATAAAGTGGAAGATTCTTTAAAAATCACAACTTCAGCACAGTCTAGGTGGTGCAGTCTACGGATACTGGACCGCAGTGCTGAGAGCCCCATGCTGACCCTGATCCTGTCACCCTGAAACATGCTGGGAAAGCCATGAGCCCAAGGTCCTGCCGAGCTAGAGGTCTGGAGGAAGAGGACCACAGTGTGACCACACCCTGTGGAGGGTGTCTCTCCCATGTGCACCTTATGCATGCGCATACATGTATGCTGTGCATCATGAGTAATATAAATAAACTTGAAAAAAAAATCACAACTCAGGCCAGCAGGTGACATGGTGGTTAAGGCACTGGACTCCTACATGCCTGACCATGGTTCAAGTCCCAGACCTGGCAGCTTGCTTTCTCACTTTCCCTCTCTCTATCTCTCTCTCTCTGGTGAAAAATTAATAATATAATAAATGAAATTAAATAAATATTTCTATAAAAATCATGACTTTCTTGTCTTTCATTTTCTTTCTTTTCCCTTTTCTTTTTGCTATAGGCTAGAAGAGCTTGTCATAGAGAGGCAGAGAGAGAGAGAGAGAGAGAGAGAGAAAGAGAGAGAGAGAGATGGAAATTGAGAAAGCAAGCTGCCAGGTCCAGGACTTGAACCGCGG